TTTTTTTTACTTTTTTTATCGGGGCCAGAGGTGCCGACCTCCGGCCCCCGGGGCCCCCGGGACCCCCGTCGGGACCCCGGGGCCGGGGCTCGACAACCCTGCTTCCAGCAGCCAGTCGATTACTCTCTCTACATTAAATCCCTCTTCCAGCCGAACCGCGTATTTCTTCTTCTTAGGCGGTCCGTCACGTATGACTAGTTCGACCTCTTCCCTGGTTCCCTTTTTCCTTCTCCGCTGCTCCGCTCTCTGATCCTCTTCTTGGCGCAGCCTCTCGTCTTCTTCCTCTTCATCATCGTCATCTTCCACTTCCACGGCCTCTTTCCTTTTTCCCGGTTCCGGCTCTTTCCTCGGAGGCTCTTGGCTGGTACTGGCCTTGGCTTGACTTCTCTTTCATGCTGCCTGCGCCAGCCGGGCCTGAGGGGTGAGGGGTCTCCCCATCACTCCCGATTGTGGCCCCGATCCCACCACATTTACTTCAGGTCGCCCAGGCGCTGTTTCCGGGCCGGAGTCCTACAGGAATACCTTGGGGATGCTGGACTTCCATTCCCTCACTTTCTCACAGAGGTCTACCAACTTCTGTTGGTACCTTCCCACCTTATCCAGTAGGTCCTTCATCTTCCCCAGTAAGATGGACGACGATTCCATCCTTGTCTCCTCGTCCTCGTCATCCGATTCGATAATTATGGGTTCTTCCCTCTTACTTCCTCCACGTGGCCCTAGAGTTACTTCCTCGTCACTCCCCACTTTTTGTACCTCAATCGGTGGTTCTTCCTTTTCTTGCTATAACCTGAATTCTTCTATCCCCACTGATGGTCCTTTCTTCTCCTGCCACAGTCTGAATGTGGCAGGAGGTAGTGGCCCGGCTGCCGCCCTTCGTTGGGCTTCCGCTCTCATTCCCCCGAGCCTTCTGTCAATGAACTCCCCAAAGTGATCGTAAATGTTCCCGTCCATAGTGGAGGAAATCAGTCCGCTCTTCTCGTCTTCCCGCCTTTTATTACAAAACCTTATAGTGTGGCCTTGCTGGTCACAATGTTGGCAGATGGTTGACCTCCAGTCAAAACAGGGTTTTCCGTATCCCTGACTTCCCCTATCCCCTTGGCCTTGGCTCCCTTGGCCTTGATACCCTTGGCTTTGGTTCCCACGGCCTTGACCATTCCACTGTCCTGCCCTTCCACCGCCATTCCTGCCTCTCCCCCTTCCTCCGCCCCTTCCTCCGTTGCCTTGGTTGCCCTGCCCCTGGTTCCCACCTCCAACCACGCCTCCTTGTGAACTGGGAGCGGGCGACGGTGGCGGGGCCATAGGCTGGGCCTGGGCTGCGGGGTAGATGGGTGGCGGCATACTCATCTGTGGCCCGGTTACTGGCGGCGGGCTGCCCCATGGTACAATTATATTGATCACCGGCCAGGGCCACTGTCCATAGAAAGGTGCCCCTCCTTGTGAGCGGCCCATACTAGATGATGGAGCTGCCACATTTGCAGGAGCCGCCGCGAGGCCCTGGGGCGCCTGCCCTTTTCCTGAGCCCTGCCCGCCCTGCGCCAAGTTACGCAATTTGCGTTGGGCTTTCGTCAAGTGTTGCGGCACCGGCTCTTCCTCTTCCCAGAGCTCTTCCTCAACGGCCTATTCCACCACTGGCTCCTTTCCTTTCACCTGGACGACCATCACTACCCTTCTTTGCACCACCGGCTCTGTCGCATATCCCAGTTGCGCCAGTATGTCCGTGAGAATCCTTTTTACTCTCCGGGTCCCAGCAGCGGTCGCATCTCTCTTCGTTCTCTTCTGCCTTTGCAGGTGTACCTGACGTTGCTCCACCTGGTCCAAACATCCAACTTCCACCCCTCTATTAATAGTGCCCCAGGTGAGCTTGGTGCTACCCCCTCCATGTCTTGTCAGCTCGACGGTCTCCGATGTCGTGAGTAGCCCCAAGAAGATGGCGCACTATGCCTCCTCCAAAATCCCATGGACCTTCCGCGCCCTCT